GTTGCTCGTAAATAGCACGTAAACTTCCGCATAAGATGACATTGTCATACCATCCATTGGTGTCTCACGCATACCAGATCAATCTCAGCTTGCGAACAAGACGGCGATCCTTGTTTACCTTGGACACAGATTTCAAGATTTCTCACTGTGGTCAACGCCAGTGAAGCCATCGAACCTGGCCAGAGTTGAACTCATACAATCAGAAAAGCGCAGATGAATGGTCCAGCAAGCAATCAAATATCGGAGGAGGGGTCGAACCCTCGATCTTGAGCGTGTGAAGATCACATCCTAACCACTAGACGACAACGACGAGTGCACATAAAAAGGAACCTTTACAACAACACGACACAACATTACGCAACAACCACTCACCACCATCTCTCTTCGTACCGCACGCACGCACACACACACAAACCGTAACCGCCTCCGCATGATACCAGCCACTGTCACACATCACCAAAGCCGCCCTGATGGTCGTATTGAGATGTAAGCCATGATAGATCTAAGACACCTCGGCTTCACACGCTTCTATTCCTAGCAACTATACTGCGGCCTGAAAGTGGTCGCTGATAACCATCGAAAAGATCTCGTAGCCTTGGACTATCGATCTTTTGCCACATAGAGTCGGTCGATGTACAAACTTTCCCGCGTCTATACACACGATGAGATTTGTTCCATTCACGTTATTGCGTATCTGTGGCCACGTTGAACCGTTCACCATGACTGAATCCTTGCTTCAGAACTTCACCCAGTCGATGTCATACACGTCCGGTCTGATTACTCGGATGGAACCAAGGGGTTTTGGTGAGGGTACTATGCGCCCGAAGACAGACGGATAGCCGGAAAGAATATCAAGTGATGGGACTATGAGCAAGACACACCTCACTTCAACCTCTGATCTTAGCAGGCAAGACAGAGTGTCGAGCGCAGATGTCGGCTGTCTGTGAGTGGTGTGTCCACGCCCTGATCGACCAGATGTGTCCGACAGCTGTGAGATTTGAACTCACGCGGGTTACCCCAATAGATTTCTAGTCTATCGCCTTAACCACTCGGCCAAGCTGTCCCCAGAGCCCATTTATCCTTAAATCGCTTTTTCAAATTCTACACGCTTTGATTACACATACAGGCTTCAACAATCGTCACATGCGGTTCTGGGCCCTCTGAACCAGTTGGTTGATCCATTCAGACGCTCTTCCGTCGCCTACAAACGATGGTATCACAAGCCAACACCACATCGTTACACTGCCTCCATGGGCTCTCTATCTTACAGATGTGTCACCAGGGTCAAGACGTTCATGTTGTAACAAAGCGCTACTGTCCAAAGCAATCTCCGAATGGATCTCGTTGTGAGGCAACCGTTGCTGGCAATGACACGACAGCTGTGAGACTTGAACTCACGCGGGTTACCCCAATAGATTTCGAGTCTATCGCCTTAACCGCTCGGCCAAGCTGTCTTGAGAACGTCCTTTCCTACAATATTTCACCACTTTGCCCCGCAGCAACACCTGCCGAGTAACAGATTAGTCACGATGGACATGACACAAACCTCATCCGAGCTACTTACAGCCGTCCAACGCACGCATTCACCGTTGCTCGTAAATAGCACGTAAACTTCCGCATAAGATGACATTGTCATACCATCCATTGGTGTCTCACGCATACCAGATCAATCTCAGCTTGCGAACAAGACGGCGATCCTTGTTTACCTTGGACACAGATTTCAAGATTTCTCACTGTGGTCAACGCCAGTGAAGCCATCGAACCTGGCCAGAGTTGAACTCATACAATCAGAAAAGCGCAGATGAATGGTCCAGCAAGCAATCAAATATCGGAGGAGGGGTCGAACCCTCGATCTTGAGCGTGTGAAGATCACATCCTAACCACTAGACGACAACGACGAGTGCACATAAAAGGAACCTTTACAACAACACGACACAACATTACGCAACAACCACTCACCACCATCTCTCTTCGTACCGCACGCACGCACACACACACACAAACCGTAACCGCCTCCGCATGATACCAGCCACTGTCACACATCACCAAAGCCGCCCTGATGGTCGTATTGAGATGTAAGCCATGATAGATCTAAGACACCTCGGCTTCACACGCTTCTATTCTTAGCAACTATACTGCGGCCTGAAAGTGGTCGCTGATAACCATCGAAAAGATCTCGTAGCCTTGGACTATCGATCTTTTGCCACATAGAGTCGGTCGATGTACAAACTTTCCCGCGTCTATACACACGATGAGATTTGTTCCATTCACGTTATTGCGTATCTGTGGCCACGTTGAACCGTTCACCATGACTGAATCCTTGCTTCAGAACTTCACCCAGTCGATGTCATACACGTCCGGTCTGATTACTCGGATGGAACCAAGGGGTTTTGGTGAGGGTACTATGCGCCCGAAGACAGACGGATAGCCGGAAAGAATATCAAGTGATGGGACTATGAGCAAGACACAGCTCACTTCAACACTCTGATCTTAGCAGGCAAGACAGAGTGTCGAGCGCAGATGTCGGCTGTCTGTGAGTGGTGTGTCCACGCCCTGATCGACCAGATGTGTCCGACAGCTGTGAGATTTGAACTCACGCGGGTTACCCCAATAGATTTCTAGTCTATCGCCTTAACCACTCGGCCAAGCTGTCCCCAGAGCCCATTTATCCTTAAATCGCTTTTTCAAATTCTACACGCTTTGATTACACATACAGGCTTCAACAATCGTCACATGCGGTTCTGGGCCCTCTGAACCAGTTGGTTGATCCATTCAGACGCTCTTCCGTCGCCTACAAACGATGGTATCACAAGCCAACACCACATCGTTACACTGCCTCCATGGGCTCTCTATCTTACAGATGTGTCACCAGGGTCAAGACGTTCATGTTGTAACAAAGCGCTACTGTCCAAAGCAATCTCCGAATGGATCTCGTTGTGAGGCAACCGTTGCTGGCAATGACACGACAGCTGTGAGACTTGAACTCACGCGGGTTACCCCAATAGATTTCGAGTCTATCGCCTTAACCGCTCGGCCAAGCTGTCTTGAGAACGTCCTTTCCTACAATATTTCACCACTTTGCCCCGCAGCAACACCTGCCGAGTAACAGATTAGTCACGATGGACATGACACAAACCTCATCCGAGCTACTTACAGCCGTCCAACGCACGCATTCACCGTTGCTCGTAAATAGCACGTAAACTTCCGCATAAGATGACATTGTCATACCATCCATTGGTGTCTCACGCATACCAGATCAATCTCAGCTTGCGAACAAGACGGCGATCCTTGTTTACCTTGGACACAGATTTCAAGATTTCTCACTGTGGTCAACGCCAGTGAAGCCATCGAACCTGGCCAGAGTTGAACTCATACAATCAGAAAAGCGCAGATGAATGGTCCAGCAAGCAATCAAATATCGGAGGAGGGGTCGAACCCTCGATCTTGAGCGTGTGAAGATCACATCCTAACCACTAGACGACAACGACGAGTGCACATAAAAAGGAACCTTTACAACAACACGACACAACATTACGCAACAACCACTCACCACCATCTCTCTTCGTACCGCACGCACGCACACACACACACAAACCGTAACCGCCTCCGCATGATACCAGCCACTGTCACACATCACCAAAGCCGCCCTGATGGTCGTATTGAGATGTAAGCCATGATAGATCTAAGACACCTCGGCTTCACACGCTTCTATTCTTAGCAACTATACTGCGGCCTGAAAGTGGTCGCTGATAACCATCGAAAAGATCTCGTAGCCTTGGACTATCGATCTTTTGCCACATAGAGTCGGTCGATGTACAAACTTTCCCGCGTCTATACACACGATGAGATTTGTTCCATTCACGTTATTGCGTATCTGTGGCCACGTTGAACCGTTCACCATGACTGAATCCTTGCTTCAGAACTTCACCCAGTCGATGTCATACACGTCCGGTCTGATTACTCGGATGGAACCAAGGGGTTTTGGTGAGGGTACTATGCGCCCGAAGACAGACGGATAGCCGGAAAGAATATCAAGTGATGGGACTATGAGCAAGACACACCTCACTTCAACCTCTGATCTTAGCAGGCAAGACAGAGTGTCGAGCGCAGATGTCGGCTGTCTGTGAGTGGTGTGTCCACGCCCTGATCGACCAGATGTGTCCGACAGCTGTGAGATTTGAACTCACGCGGGTTACCCCAATAGATTTCTAGTCTATCGCCTTAACCACTCGGCCAAGCTGTCCCCAGAGCCCATTTATCCTTAAATCGCTTTTTCAAATTCTACACGCTTTGATTACACATACAGGCTTCAACAATCGTCACATGCGGTTCTGGGCCCTCTGAACCAGTTGGTTGATCCATTCAGACGCTCTTCCGTCGCCTACAAACGATGGTATCACAAGCCAACACCACATCGTTACACTGCCTCCATGGGCTCTCTATCTTACAGATGTGTCACCAGGGTCAAGACGTTCATGTTGTAACAAAGCGCTACTGTCCAAAGCAATCTCCGAATGGATCTCGTTGTGAGGCAACCGTTGCTGGCAATGACACGACAGCTGTGAGACTTGAACTCACGCGGGTTACCCCAATAGATTTCGAGTCTATCGCCTTAACCGCTCGGCCAAGCTGTCTTGAAACGTCCTTTCCTACAATATTTCACCACTTTGCCCCGCAGCAACACCTGCCGAGTAACAGATTAGTCACGATGGACATGACACAAACCTCATCCGAGCTACTTACAGCCGTCCAACGCACGCATTCACCGTTGCTCGTAAATAGCACGTAAACTTCCGCATAAGATGACATTGTCATACCATCCATTGGTGTCTCACGCATACCAGATCAATCTCAGCTTGCGAACAAGACGGCGATCCTTGTTTACCTTGGACACAGATTTCAAGATTTCTCACTGTGGTCAACGCCAGTGAAGCCATCGAACCTGGCCAGAGTTGAACTCATACAATCAGAAAAGCGCAGATGAATGGTCCAGCAAGCAATCAAATATCGGAGGAGGGGTCGAACCCTCGATCTTGAGCGTGCTGAAAAGCAACCTTTTACAACACACGACACAACATTACGCAACAACCACTCACGACCAGGGGGGGGGGGGGGGGGGGGGGGGGGGGGGGGGGGGGGAGTGCACATAAAAGGAACCTTTACAACAACACGACACAACATTACGCAACAACCACTCACCACCATCTCTTCGTACCGCTTTACGCACGCACACACACACACAAACCGTAACCGCCTCCGCATGATACCAGCCACTGTCACACATCACCAAAGCCGCCCTGATGGTCGTATTGAGATGTAAGCCATGATAGATCTAAGACACCTCGGCTTCACACGCTTCTATTCCTAGCAACTATACTGCGGCCTGAAAGTGGTCGCTGATAACCATCGAAAAGATCTCGTAGCCTTGGACTATCGATCTTTTGCCACATGGAGTCGGTCGATGTACAAACTTTCCCGCGTCTACACACACGATGAGCTTTGTTCCATTCACGTTATTGCGTATCTGTGGCCACGTTGACCCGTTCACCATGACTGAATCCTTGCTCCAGAACTTCACCCAGTCGATGTCATACACGTCCGGTCTGATTACTCGGATGGAACCAAGGGGTTTTGGTGAGGGTACTATGCGCCCGAAGACAGACGGATAGCCGGAAAGAATATCAAGTGATGGGACTATGAGCAAGACACACCTCACTTCAACACTCTGATCTTAGCAGGCAAGACAGAGTGTCGAGCGCAGATGTCGGCTGTCTGTGAGTGGTGTGTCCACGCCCTGATCGACCAGATGTGTCCGACAGCTGTGAGATTTGAACTCACGCGGGTTACCCCAATAGATTTCTAGTCTATCGCCTTTACCACTCGGCCAAGCTGTCCCCAGAGCCCATTTATCCTTAAATCGCTTTTTCAAATTCTACACGCTTTGATTACACATACAGGCTTCAACAATCGTCACATGCGGTTCTGGGCCCTCTGAACCAGTTGGTTGATCCGTTCAGACGCTCTTCCGTCGCCTACAAACGATGGTGTCACAAGCCAACACCACATCATTACACTGCCTCCATGGGCTCTCTATCTTACAGATGTGTCACCAGGGTCAAGACGTTCATGTTGTAACAAAGCGCTACTGTCCAAAGCAATCTCCGAATGGATCTCGTTGTGAGGCAACCGTTGCTGGCAATGACACGACAGCTGTGAGACTTGAACTCACGCGGGTTACCCCAATAGATTTCGAGTCTATCGCCTTAACCGCTCGGCCAAGCTGTCTTGAAACGTCCTTTCCTACAATATCTCACCACTTTGCCCCGCAGCAACACCTGCCGAGTAACAGATTAGTCACGATGGACATGACACAAACCTCATCCGAGCTACTTACAGCCGTCCAACGCACGCATTCACCGTTGCTCGTAAATAGCACGTAAACTTCCGCATAAGATGACATTGTCATACCATCCATTGGTGTCTCACGCATACCAGATCAATCTCAGCTTGCGAACAAGACGGCGATCCTTGTTTACCTTGGACACAGATTTCAAGATTTCTCACTGTGGTCAACGCCAGTGAAGCCATCGAACCTGGCCAGAGTTGAACTCATACAATCAGAAAAGCGCAGATGAATGGTCCAGCAAGCAATCAAATATCGGAGGAGGGGTCGAACCCTCGATCTTGAGCGTGTGAAGATCACATCCTAACCACTAGACGACAACGACGAGTGCACATAAAAAGGAACCTTTACAACAACACGACACAACATTACGCAACAACCACTCACCACCATCTCTCTTCGTACCGCACGCACGCACACACACACACACAAACCGTAACCGCCTCCGCATGATACCAGCCACTGTCACACATCACCAAAGCCGCCCTGATGGTCGTATTGAGATGTAAGCCATGATAGATCTAAGACACCTCGGCTTCACACGCTTCTATTCCTAGCAACTATACTGCGGCCTGAAAGTGGTCGCTGATAACCATCGAAAAGATCTCGTAGCCTTGGACTATCGATCTTTTGCCACATGGAGTCGGTCGATGTACAAACTTTCCCGCGTCTACACACACGATGAGCTTTGTTCCATTCACGTTATTGCGTATCTGTGGCCACGTTGACCCGTTCACCATGACTGAATCCTTGCTCCAGAACTTCACCCAGTCGATGTCATACACGTCCGGTCTGATTACTCGGATGGAACCAAGGGGTTTTGGTGAGGGTACTATGCGCCCGAAGACAGACGGATAGCCGGAAAGAATATCAAGTGATGGGACTATGAGCAAGACACACCTCACTTCAACACTCTGATCTTAGCAGGCAAGACAGAGTGTCGAGCGCAGATGTCGGCTGTCTGTGAGTGGTGTGTCCACGCCCTGATCGACCAGATGTGTCCGACAGCTGTGAGATTTGAACTCACGCGGGTTACCCCAATAGATTTCTAGTCTATCGCCTTAACCACTGGGCCAAGCTGTCCCCAGAGCCCATTTATCCTTAAATCGCTTTTTCAAATTCTACACGCTTCGATTACACATACAGGCTTCAACAATCGTCACATGCGGTTCTGGGCCCTCTGAACCAGTTGGTTGATCCGTTCAGACGCTCTTCCGTCGCCTACAAACGATGGTGTCACAAGCCAACACCACATCATTACACTGCCTCCATGGGCTCTCTATCTTACAGATGTGTCACCAGGGTCAAGACGTTCATGTTGTAACAAAGCGCTACTGTCCAAAGCAATCTCCGAATGGATCTCGTTGTGAGGCAACCGTTGCTGGCAATGACACGACAGCTGTGAGACTTGAACTCACGCGGGTTACCCCAATAGATTTCGAGTCTATCGCCTTAACCGCTCGGCCAAGCTGTCTTGAGAACGTCCTTTCCTACAATATTTCACCACTTTGCCCCGCAGCAACACCTGCCGAGTAACAGATTAGTCACGATGGACATGACACAAACCTCATCCGAGCTACTTACAGCCGTCCAACGCACGCATTCACCGTTGCTCGTAAATAGCACGTAAACTTCCGCATAAGATGACATTGTCATACCATCCATTGGTGTCTCACGCATACCAGATCAATCTCAGCTTGCGAACAAGACGGCGATCCTTGTTTACCTTGGACACAGATTTCAAGATTTCTCACTGTGGTCAACGCCAGTGAAGCCATCGAACCTGGCCAGAGTTGAACTCATACAATCAGAAAAGCGCAGATGAATGGTCCAGCAAGCAATCAAATATCGGAGGAGGGGTCGAACCCTCGATCTTGAGCGTGTGAAGATCACATCCTAACCACTAGACGACAACGACGAGTGCACATAAAAGGAACCTTTACAACAACACGACACAACATTACGCAACAACCACTCACCACCATCTCTCTTCGTACCGCACGCACGCACACACACACAAACCGTAACCGCCTCCGCATGATACCAGCCACTGTCACACATCACCAAAGCCGCCCTGATGGTCGTATTGAGATGTAAGCCATGATAGATCTAAGACACCTCGGCTTCACACGCTTCTATTCCTAGCAACTATACTGCGGCCTGAAAGTGGTCGCTGATAACCATCGAAAAGATCTCGTAGCCTTGGACTATCGATCTTTTGCCACATGGAGTCGGTCGATGTACAAACTTTCCCGCGTCTACACACACGATGAGCTTTGTTCCATTCACGTTATTGCGTATCTGTGGCCACGTTGACCCGTTCACCATGACTGAATCCTTGCTTCAGAACTTCACCCAGTCGATGTCATACACGTCCGGTCTGATTACTCGGATGGAACCAAGGGGTTTTGGTGAGGGTACTATGCGCCCGAAGACAGACGGATAGCCGGAAAGAATATCAAGTGATGGGACTATGAGCAAGACACACCTCACTTCAACCTCTGATCTTAGCAGGCAAGACAGAGTGTCGAGCGCAGATGTCGGCTGTCTGTGAGTGGTGTGTCCACGCCCTGATCGACCAGATGTGTCCGACAGCTGTGAGATTTGAACTCACGCGGGTTACCCCAATAGATTTCTAGTCTATCGCCTTAACCACTCGGCCAAGCTGTCCCCAGAGCCCATTTATCCTTAAATCCCCCCCGCTTTTTCAAATTCTACACGCTTCTGATTACACATACCCCAGGCTTCAATCAATCGTCACATGCGGTTCTGGGCCCTCTGAACCAGCTTTGGTTGGGGGATCAGCATCCTAACCACTAGACGACAACGACGAGTGCACATAAAAAGGAACCTTTACAACAACACGACACAACATTACGCAACAACCACTCACCACCATCTCTCTCTCGTACCGCACGCATGCCACACACACACAAAACCGTAACCGCCTCCGCATTATACCAGCCACTGTCCACACAATCACCAAAGCCGCCCTGATGGACCGTGCTTGAAGATGTAAGCCATGATAGATCTGAAGACACCTCGGCTTCACACGCTTCTATTCTTAGCAACTATACTGCGGCCTGAAAGTGGTCGCTGATAACCATCCGAAAAGATCTCGGTAGCCTTGGACTATCGATCTTTGCCAACATAGAGTCGGTCGATGTACAAACCTTCCCGCGCTCTACACACACGATGAGATTTGTTCCATTCACCTTTATTGCCGTATCTGTGGCCACGTTGAACCGTTCACCATATGACTGAATCCTTGCTTCAGAACTTCACCCAGTCGATGTCATACACGTCCAGGTCTGATTACTCGGATGGAACCAAGGGGTTTTGGTGAGGGTACTATGCGCCCGAAGACAGACGGATAGCCGGAAAGAATATCAAGTGATGGGACTATGAGCAAGACACACCTCACTTCAACCTCTGATCTTAGCAGGCAAGACAGAGTGTCGAGCGCGGATGTCGGCTGTCTGTGAGTGGTGTATCCACGCCCTGATCGACCAGAGCGTGTGAAGATCACATCCTAACCACTAGACGACAACGACGAGTGCACATAAAAAGGAACCTTTACAACAACACGACACAACATTACGCAACAACCACTCACCACCATCTCTCTTCGTACCGCACGCACGCACACACACACAAACCGTAACCGCCTCCGCATGATACCAGCCACTGTCACACATCACCAAAGCCGCCCTGATGGTCGTATTGAGATGTAAGCCATGATAGATCTAAGACACCTCGGCTTCACACGCTTCTATTCTTAGCAACTATACTGCGGCCTGAAAGTGGTCGCTGATAACCATCGAAAAGATCTCGTAGCCTTGGACTATCGATCTTTTGC